TATAAGCCGTAATAGAAATTGATCTGTTGGATCTGCCCTTCCAGAGGCTTGATCGTGAGCTCACTGGGACCCTTGCCACTGGCTTGAACCAGCAGAGGAATAAACTCCACATGCAGAAGAAAAGTACCAGAAGTCAGAGGTGGATGACGCCTGGCAGTAAGCATTTTCCCCAGCACAGGACTGGGGCCCAGGGCCCCACCAGAGCCCCCCCAGCTGATCTCCATTACTAGTCACAGCTGCTCTGTAAGCACCACATTCCTCTTCCTGCTTCTCTTCAGCAATAATGACAGAAAAACATGTTTTGCCCAGATAGGTTTTGTCACCTCTGCTGTCCCCACATGGGGGAAGATCCCAATGACAATGGGAAAAGGGGTGGCAATGGATGATGAACCTGCCAGTGCAGATGGACAAGGGGCACAGGAGGTGCCCTACATCCTCTGCTTTGCTGTTACCCCCTAGTTCTGTTTGCCAGTGTTACCCAAAGACCATGGTCTGATCCCTTCCTATGTGAGCAAGTCAGGACTGAGAAGGAACACCAGCTGGCAAAGTGCAAACAGCTCTGAGCAAAGCTGCCTTTATTGGAAATAGCTTTCAGAGCTCAAAACTGGCGAAAATCTGCAAGTTCACCAGCACAAGTGCAACCTTCAGGAGCAGGGGCCAGTGCACAGAGCAACACCTTCTGCCTCTGACATTGCTTCTGCATTGGGACACTCGCTAATGTAGCATGACATCCAAGGAGTCTTAAAGGTGACAAAGGGAATCCCGAATGAGCCTTGGTACAACCTTCACTTCTAGGAGACATGAACGCAGAACTCAAATTGAAATAAAGCTTTTTCAAAAATTATGTGACACAGAAATGATGCGTGATTCACTCAAGAAACAACACATGATTCATTAAAACCTCAAGCAAAAACAGAAAGCCAATTTAAAAAGAACTTATTCTGACCTGAAACAGAAAGACAAACAGGACATTTGTATTAAGAGAGTGTAATGGCTTCACCAGCTTTTTCACCTCAGAGCTTCACACTGTGCTGGAGGAATTAGATAACATCAGTCAGTCACAGTGTTGTCCCTGGCTTTAAGAATATCACTGGGAAGAGAACTAAACCTCTCCAGAGGGTATTTCACTGCCTTAAAGGCACTTGTTTCTCTTCACATTTCCTTGGCTCATTCCTAGCACACCTTCCAGGAGCAAATGTGCCAGAGACCCTCTATGGCCAATTGTCCCCATCCCTGGCTGCTCCAGGTTCATTTAACACAGCTCATTTTGCTCACAGTAGTATGTGACCATACGAGGGGAAAATGCTTACTTTACCTAAGCACAAGAGAATTTCAGCTTGGATTTCAGAAGGGTGAAATTTCAGTTTGATTTTTTTTCCTGCACTTCCACAGACTGTGGTGGTCTAGCAGTTAGCTGGAGATGGTGCATTAGCTGGTGTAAATGGAAGAAATGATGAGAAAAGGGAAAAAAACAGGAAAAAAAAAAAACTTTAAAAATATCTCAGCTGAAGACTTGTTTTCTGTGGAAACACAACTGGTAGCTCAATGCAGGCTTTCCTTCCTGATTTTGACCATCAATATAATATACATATATCTGTACAGGTTTGGGTCTCTTGGAAATTGGAAAAAAAAAAGCTCCCCTTCCTTAGGCCAAGCTCCATGGCTTAAGTTTGTAGAGGCCCTCACTCCAGTTGCGTGAAATCTTGAAAGGCACTTAATGAATTAGGCATTATTAATATTCTTTTCCAACATCAGAAGGCAGTAATTAACTCTTTGAAGACTCATCCCAAACTCTGCTTTATTACTTCCAGTCTTCAGTGGCAGCTATGTAATCTCATTGTGATTTTATAGAATAACTTTCCAGATTAATTATTTTCCCTGTTTGAAAAAAAAAGTTCAAAGTCCTGGTTCTGCCTTGGAGTGTACATTAGTGATGTTAGATGTGCCATAAAGATTTCAGAGCACGAAACAAGATACCCTGTAATACTCTGCAATTACAGATTAAAAGTCACTTCGTCACCCTGAGCAGGAGAGAGGACTGCAGGCTGAAAAGCTAGCAAGCACACTCACTTTATGGGCTCATAAATGCAGCGTGATGGCTGAGCTACCTAATGCATGGAAAAAGAAAACAAAAATCCAGAGTTGATAATAGCATGCTGAGCAGATGCCTTAAGTAGGTCATTCAACATGCCAAGCCTCTAAATGTTATTTGGGAGTGAGAAAACATTATTTTCCCACTTCAGTGTGACTTTCTCTTCCCTGTCATGTGGAACTAACCTTTTCTGCTCAGTACTATTATTAATTTATTAGCCTTTTGAACGTTTAAATTGTTTCACAGTCTATAGACTACATCTAAGTGCTTGTTGAGGGACAATGCAACACAAATACGCGTGTGTATGCACCCACACGCACGCATGCATATTTAGAAGAGTAGACCTGATGAAAGAGCAATTCTCTCTGTCTATATATTTTTGACAGTGAGAACAAACAGCCATTTTCTCGAGCACAGAACTGCAAGGAGCGTATTTTTGTTATAATTAAATGTCAAACCTTACAAGTGATGACTATGTAGAAAAAGCATTAAGTATATTTCTATTGAAATCAATTAAAGGAGACAATGATTTTCTTTTCATTTAGATTACGTGACTTCAGCACAAATTGCTGCAGTACAGTGCAGCTCTGTCAGCCCGCTCTCACTGCTTTCTCTTTGCCTGATGAAACTGTCCTGGATGGCATGGCTTTTCTTAAAAGATGAACTCACAGGCAAACCCTTCTGAACCCAACAAGGAATCACATATAGTTTCAGTAGATATAACATTTGAAACAATCTCACTAATAATTTTACGTAACAGGACTTGGATTGTGTCTCCGGTGTTGAAAGTAGTATAATCTATTTTGTATCTATAAACAACACCCAAAATTTCTGCAAAGCAGACTCTGGCTCAGCACAACTTACTGCAATACTGGGAGTAAGACTTTTCCTGAAATAGCTCTTGAGCAACACTGTAGGAGATATCATAGGTGGAGTTCATCTGTTGTACCCTAGGTATTTAAAAGTTAGCAATCAAGGACTCCCTCAACACTCAACAGAAAGGGGATGATCCCAAAGTAGGGATCATCACTGAAGAGGAACCAGATGATTGCCCTCTAGAAGAACCACTCCACATGGGCTATTAAAGGTGATGTGATTACCTTGAATCACTGCCAGCATGGCACAATCCATGTATCCAACACTGAGCTATGCACTGGGGATCTGAACTCCCTGAGTGTTTTTCCACTTGTGTGACTCTCTCTTCCAGGGCCCTGCAGGAAGCCAAATTGCCCAAAACAAGGAGCATAGTAGAGAAGAAAATCCATGGAAAAACAGCCAGGTAATTATTCCCTATATGCATCCCAGGACTGTAGAGTTGGACTCCAGCACATTGCCCTGTCAGGAAAAGCTATCTATGTGTTTTTAGCTGTGCACAACCTTGTCATGCTAATGGGGGCAGGGGATTCCCAGGAAGCTAGCTGAAGTGACAGGTTCATAGTTTTAAGAAAGAAAGAATACATTCTGGCAGCGTATGTGGCATTGTCTTGTCCCATGAAATCACAGTCAGGAAGGTCTGAGCAGAATTGTCATCCTGGGACTGGAGCTGGTGGCTTGTCACAGTTAGGTGAGATGGCAAGGGAAGGATGCTGAAGTCACAGCTTGGACAACATCTTATCAACAGAGAAGCGAAAAGCTAGAAACCCCAAACAAGCTTTCAAGCCCCAAAGCCCTTCCTCAGGTCTGAAGTGGAGTTAACAAGCTTCAAGTCAGAGGTAAGCTGACAAGCTGGAACCAAACCTGATTATAATTCAGCTCTTTCAGACTCCTGCACAGGCAGAGTGGGACTGTAATCCCATTGCATCTGCTTTTTGCCAAGGGTATTTCGTGCCATACTTGGTATATTAATGAGCACAAGGAATGCACCAAAAACTGAATTTCCTTTGAAAGAAATATTTGTAAGATGCTCCAGTGACCATGGAGAAACTATACTCAGAAAAGTACAATTCTAGTTCTGTTCAATTCCTGTTGCTTCAGAGGCTGAAATTATCTTGTAAAATACCAAGGTAGCCTCAATACATTATTAGGTGAGATGCCCTTAGGTACAGCTGTAGAAAAATGTTTCAGCAGCTAGAGGATCTCAGTTAATGCTCAATAATCTATAAATCATTGTTATGAGATTTCTCTATGCAAATGAAATTTATATAACACTCATCAATCTTAAAAAAAACATCATAAAGATTAAATTTTGCAGCCGCAATGCGAATTAAAGAATTCCTTAACCTGTTTTCAAGATACGTCCTTATAGCTAATTAATTTTTAGATGGAGTGCTCTTTGAAAGGACTAATGGATAGTGAGCATTGCTGATTGATTATAAAATGAGCAGGAGGATTTAAAAAGTGAGCTGTGAATGTAAAATTGCTACCAAGCTTTATTAACCTTGCCATATTAAAATTTTCAACTATGCAAGTGCGGGAAGCAGGTATTAAAATAATACTTTTGCTGAGTACATTTTATTTATTTAACATCAATAAATTTCTCTTAGTTGGTCTGCGCCATGCAGATCCATCAGGCTGTTCTCTTCTGACCTATTTCTTGGCGGGTGAGAGACTGAACCTCACCTCTGAGGAATCTAGATTCTAGATTCGCTCATACTGTAACATATAACTTCATACATTATGTAACAGAAAGTAAAAAAAATGGAAAAGAAAAGAAAAAAGAAAAGAAATTGAAAAGAAAGAGTAATTCATGTCACCCTGCCTGCACTGCTTCTCAGGGCTGCAAATCTATGGCTAACTTTTATTGAGCCATCATTAACAAAGAGCTACAACATTTATTGAAAGGCCAGTTAATCTGCAATGACCTGAAAACATCAAGAGTAAATTGGGGGTTGTTCAGCACTGCATACAGTCTGCAGGACTGTGCAATTTCTTGGTGAAAGAAATGGGAAAACAAGAGCAGCTGCCTTACCCGCTTCCTCAAATTGCAGGTGAGTGTGAGGTTCCTCGAGAATGAGTTTGCAAAAGCAGTATAAAAGTCCAACACTTTAAGCAAGGCTTCTCGTTTAATAATATGTAAATCGCAGTATGTCAGAGCCCGCACATTGGCACACGCATGGGCCAGACTGGTTTCCTTCCAGAAGATATCGCCAAACACATCGCCTTTACCTGAAAAACAGCAGCACAAATTTGTTAAAAGGTAACACTTACATGGTGTTCTTCAGCATATGCATGATTTCTTCCTGAACTCTTATGCTTTTGATTAAGCTAACATCAGCTCCCAGCTGTGAAAACTAATAAAAGTTTTAAAAATATCTGAGGTACTTGAGCATCCTTAGCAATAGCCCCAGGTTTTTAACAGTATTTATAGACTGCCCTGAGAAGTGTCACAAAGCATAAAAGCCAGATTGTAAAGGTCTTGGTGTAGATGAAGATGCTGGTAATGGATTTTCCAAAAGTTCCTGAACTTAGAGGTACTTAACTAATGGTCAGGTTACTAAATATTTCTGAGGATCTTTCCTAAATTATATAGGAGCTCCACTCTCACTGAAAGCTGATGCCATTTAGATTTTATTTTTTTTTTTTTTATCACCATGGCTTTGCAGTGCTGTATAAAAGCCAGCTTCCAGGGACTGAGGATCACATTTTAAAGACAGTTTAAACACTTCTACTTCAGCGTGAAAGGCAACGTTCCTTCAGAAAATGCACCCAAAGTTTCCTGAGACTTTCAACCTCTAAATACCTGGCTCTAAATCTTGAGCAGTTTCAAAAGCCTGTTTCTAAATCCAAACACATCAACTTAAGTAGAGGGTTATGCTTATGTGTGTATTTAAATATTTGCTGACTATGAAAGGGTTTGACCCCTTGGACACCTGCACATTTAAATAGCTACAACCACATGGGAGGTGAGGCCCTGGGCGAGGGCCACAACGTGTGGTAGGTGGCTGGCACCTCAAATTCTGAAGCGTGGTACATGGAAAGCCATTTGCTTCAGTTCCCAATGATATTCAAGCCCTTTATTTCAGTAGTTATTAAGAGGAAATTAAAATCAATTGGTCAGTGGTATTATCTTTATTGATTTCGGGTACCTCAAGCAGCCCCTTGGTGAAGGTTAGAGATTTTACAGTTTGGGGATAGGAAAGGTAATATACATTTTCATACTTCTTCCTTTAAGGGCTTGCAACATTTCACTCTGCTCTATTTTGGGAACACAGGCTGGAGTTATAATTTATCCAACTTATTGCTCTTTGGGGTCAGAGACTATTTCCCTATTTTGGCCTCACATATCGTATTCAGTTAAACAGGACCAACATTTCTCATGTAGAGTAAAATGTGATCTACGAGTCCCTGTCTTCATTCCCTTGTTTTCATTTTGTAACAGAAGTCTGTATGGCAGAATCATCCCTCAGAAAGGTTATAGCATTTTCATTGAATTGCTTTTGAATAATTCTACATATTTAGATGTAATTAAAATTAACTGCAATATATAGTATTGCTGATAAAATGTATAAAACAAGTTGCCTTAAAATGCTTTCCTTCTCACACAGCATTTCCTACTAACATATAATTTATCTGATGTAATGTTTTGAAACCCTTTGCTGTTAATTGTCCTTGTCTATACGCATAGTTCAAAACCTGGTTTACAGGCATACTCAGCACAGTTACATAATTTACAGGAAACAGACCACTTCTGAAGTGCACAAAAATTGCTTAATGCATTTGCTCTCTGAGGTGGACACAGGACGGAACTTAGTGCTGCTTTCAGCAGCTGCAGACTACAGTTAAAAAGACAGAATTCAATAACAGGGACTAGTATGATTTTTCCACTGAAATGTGAGCAAAATACTTGTTTTCCTTCTAAATTTAAAGTAATATATAACTAATTTAAGACAAGAAGCTGGAAGCAGTGGATGCTGACTCAGAAACTCTGTAGGATGTTGTGCTACAGAATATACCCAAATCACCATTCATAAAACTGAAATCTCCTCATCTTCCGCAGTTCAGTGAGGCAGGAATGATACTGGGTTTCTCTAAAAGAATCTGAGTTGAGATAAACTGAACCTCTTTGCTCTTTCATGGGTCATCACTCAGTGGACTTGAATGGTGAAATGGTTACTTGAAGAGACGACTTAAAAGGTAAAGCTGGTATTTTGTCTGCTGCCAATGCTCATTGATTCGCAGGAGGTGACTATAAGAGGCCCATAAGCTCCCTTTATGTTGCAGTTTATTCTCTTCAGTGAGTATAAAATCTTGGAAGCACTCGAGGCTTTCTGAATTTGATGTTTCCCCACACACTTCCAAGTCTCATTTGCCTGCTATAAATGTGCTAAGGAACGTCCTGAATGAAAACAAAACCAACCAGATTCTCCAAAACAATGCACGTTTCCTCATAAATACAGAGATTAATGTACTATACTTCGTCCGGATGAGCTGTAGCTCACTGTGTGGAGAGCAGTAATTATTCATTCAAGTTTTATTTAACACAGTGCAACTAACTGGAAAAAAAATCTTAAAATTATAATAAAAAATGTACCTGGCATGACTTAAACCCCAGCCACTCGGAGGCACATCTGCAGTGCACGATGCGCACACACCTCCGGGGACAGCCTGGGGCTGGGCTGCTGATGCAGAGACACTTGGGACTGATGCATCCCACAGCCTTCTCAAAGTCTCTCTCTTGAGATTTTTCAAGATCCAGCATGTTACCTCCCAAATTTGCACTGCCCCAAGTCTTGAGCAGTCCCAATACTCCTCCTGAACTGAAGCAAAGCTCTAGGAAGTCCCCTTGTGCCATTGCTCTTGAAGTGCCTGAAGCATTGCTAAAACAGGGAGTGCTGCGAAGTTAAAGTGGGAGCCTCTTGTGTACGCTTTGCACTTGGTGTAAAGAATTACACAGAGGAAAGCCAATGAGAGTCAGGATGTAGATGTTGCTGGCTTAAAGGTGACAGAAGCCTGGATGGAAGGATCCAAAAAAAACACAGAAACCAGGAAGATGTGTGCAGGGTGTTGGTCATGAACTTAATTTTTGCTGAAATAGCTCTACTGGTATCACCCTAAAGACAGACTAAAATTTTCACTTGTCTTATGCATATATTCCTGTACATAAAAACATACATATGCATGTACGTATGTATATATTTAGAGAGAATTATACAGCATGTAATTATATAATATATAATTATGTTTCTATATATTATTCTGATTTTTTTATTCTGGATAACTCCCACACAGAAGTCGGGGGGAGGGGGCTGATGTTCTACACAGCTTTGCACCATGGACTGCGTTGCCAATTTGTGAAACTGCAGCTCATGGTTGGACCTCTCAGGCAGAAAAAAATCTTAAGGGACTTATGAAACTCCCCAGGGGCTCAAAATGGGAATGAAAAAGTCCTTGGATTCACAGGGAGGAAACACCCTTGTAAAACAGAACCCCTGAAGAACCTGTATTTATCTATGAAAAGAAATACATATATATGTATCTTTCTCCAGATAGGGAAAGAAACAGCTAAAAAATATCCTAGTAGACATGATAATTTGAGAGGGCTTTTGGAGAAGGTTTGGGCAGGCAATGAGAGAATGAATTCCAGGTGGAAAACAGCACTAGGAAGAAAAACATATAAAAGGGGCCCAGGCTTCTTCTTAAGGTGATAGCTCTTGTGGATGGGAGCGAATTTGGAAAATATATTCTGTGCAGTCTTAGCAAATAGGCCAGCTAACCTACCTCCCATTTTAAAACATCTCCCAGGACCCATCACTCACACTAGCAAAAGCCAGAAACAATGAATAATGTAGGCTTTCCATCAGGATACGCTTAAATCTTCTGTTGCTTATGAAAGACAGAGGCAGTACAAAACAATTTTGTTGCAGAATCAGTAAAACTGTATTACACACAGAAAATGTTCACCTAATTTGCCCAGGTACAAATAGCCATGAAGGATGCACAGACTGGAGGTCAGGAACCAAATATCAAGTCCCTGTAGCCATAATTACATTGCTACTGGTACAAGAATTCATACACATACATTTGTCTGTGCGTATACATCTGCAGTGAAAGCTCTGGCTGCCAGGCAGATGAATCTTGGGCTGATGTAGATCTCTAATGAGCAAGGAGGGAACCTGCTCCGGTTACTCACAGCAGCCTACAGCTCTGTATTGGTTTGGCAAATAGGCCAGCTCTGCAACTCCTTGCCACAGGACATCAGGGTTGCAGAGGTTTACAAAATAACAGCATGGATTCGTGGAATAAAACCCACCTGTGGCTACTAAACACAAGAATTTCCCGTTGAGTGAGGGAGATCTTGAAGCACAATCTAATGGAGGGTTGGAGAACACTGGTTGCTTCATCTTCCTACTTTCTCCTGCACATCTGCTATTGCCCAGTTTTGCAGACAGGGTACTGGGCTGGCTGGAGTTGTGGATTTAGCTGATCCAGCTGCCTGTGCCCAACGAAGGGGTCTGGAGTGATGCAAGCTCACCAGCTGTCTCCTGCCCTCTGGGACATCACTGCTGCCTGTTAGCACAACCTACCAGACCAAGAGAGAGAGCTCCTTGCCTCTGTAGAGGTTTTAGCCAAAACTTCAGCCTTCCCTAGGGCACCCCAAGGAGCCAGAACTCCCTTGAAAACCACTTAACACCAGTCAGACATCCAGCCTGACTGTGCATTAACATCTGAAGGGGTAGAATGAGCAGAGAAAACAGCATTTTTAGCATCTGAAAGACTATCAAAATAGCCAGCAAATAAACAATAACAAGAGACTGTGCCAGAGATTCAAGTCCATGCTTGCAAAAGCACTTTGCATTAGTAAATACAGTGCAACCTTCCCCATCTGCACCTAAAAACTGGAAATAAATTTACCTTTCTTCCAGCACTCGGGACTGCTGCAAGAAGAGGGAAAGATCTCTAGAGATATTCTCCTGTTAGTGAAGGCTTAATGGTGCCCATCTCTCACACTTGAAGCACAAGTCTCCTAGTACTTCATATTTTTCTAGAAGCCCCAGCTCCTCGTGATTGGAAACCTCAGTTTTGATTTGATACAAAAAGAAATATCCATTCTTCCTGACCAAGGGAATAAACATGAAAGCATGACCATTCCCACCATCTTCAATATTCGTAAGGCAAATCAGATTGCCTCAAACTGTTAGTCTGATTTGAAAGAAATATATCACATT